AGGTAAAGCAAACGACATCCTGACAGATTTAAGGCCTCCATTGAATGGGGTTGAGGACAACACACTTGGAAAGACTGAGCTGCCACTTTGACAAACATGCTTCCTATTATAAATAATAGTGATTTTCCCCAACTGGAATGCGTTTAATAACTGCACCCATGGAGAATTTGTAAGCAGACAGCACCAACCATTTGCTCTCCAGTTCTGATCCAAAACAATCTGGAAGAAGGGAGCATTTTCTCTGCTGAAGACCTGGCATTGAGTACAAGCAGGTTACCTGCCATTGTGTGATGCAACCATATTTAATCAGTGCCCCGTAAAAATACAGTTTAAAAGACTGAGGCATTTTGCACAGCTGTGACAACAATTCTGTTGCTTCTCAAAGCCTCAACCCCTCTCTGCATTCTTGTTTGCATTGTCTGCTAGAGGCTGTATGGCTGGTTGGTTTCGCGATGCCTTTGGACCGCACAGAAGGTCCTCTCTGTCATTTGATAAGGAAAAATTGAGGTTCCTGTGCCAACTGGAAGGGAACCAAATGCACTGGGCTGTGACTGAGTCTGGGTTGGCCCACGCTTTGGCTCGATCAATTTAAAAATAATACACTGCAAGGCTATATTGGCTCCCTTTCCAAATTCTTCGGCACTAAAAGGATGAGTTGGGGAGAAAAGTAGTATATTTTTCTCCCAGTGTTTTTATCTCTTCTCCGTAATAATTCCACAGGCGCGGCAGTCGTTTTGAATAGTAGCTGTAAAATAAATTAGATTACAATCTGTACATGGCGAACTTGCTCCCTGCTTCTCTAACTGCGCCGCAGACAAATGTTTTAATGAAGAGGCATGTCCTTCGCTGCTCCCTCCATTTGTCCAGCGAGCGTTTGCTTAATCTCCTAAACCACAAGGATCTATCTTTTAAGAATCCCCAGCCAATAAATAATACATTTTCCCGCAGGGATAGAGGTGGAAGGGGGGAGCACCCATTAATCATGCTGCACATTCCACTTGTTATATCTTCAGTTTACTTACAAACAAGTTTGGAATTTGTACTGTAAGCAAACTATTTCGCCCGTTCAGCATGTCGGTTTCATACGAATCTACATCATGGGAGAACTATATAGAGTTGGCCCTCCATTTTCATGGGGTCTTTTTTCACAGAATCATAGAATCCTAGAGTTGGAAGAGACCTCGTGGGCGATCCAGTCCAACCCCCTTCTGCCAAGAAGCAGGAAAATCACATTCAAAGCACCCCCAACAGATGGCCACCCAGCCTCTGCTTAAAAGCCTCCAAAGAAGGAGCCTCCACCACACTCTAGGGCAGAGAGTTCCACTGCTGAACAACTCTCACAGTCAGCAAGTTCTTCCTAATGTTCAGGTGGAATCTCCTTTCACAGGTTCAAGTAGCTGTGGCTTGAAAATATTCAAAGGAAAAATCTGAAAAGCAGAACTTGATTTTGCTTTGGGCCAAGGTTTACATCAGTGGTTACCTATCTGTGGTCCTCAAGAACGAAAAGATGATCCATGACCTCATCATTACTACATCGTTGCCTTGACACCACATGGCAACAAGAGCGACTGGTCTTGCGAAACCCTCTTATAGTGCCGAGGCAACGGGGATGTGGGGGGGGGGGAGAGGCTGACTGCTCACACAAGATTATTACTACCACATCAGCTATAGATTATTAAATAGGTTTTTCTGTGGGTGAGCAGACGGAACTGCTGGATGGCATGTGTTCTGTATCAGAAACTAGAGCTGATGTGCTCTATCCAATACAGTTTTCTGAATCAGCACCCCAAATTACCAAACTGAATCTAAAGTTGACCAACAACTGATTCATAACCCGTTTAGTACCAATGGTGGAGAGTGGTTCCTGGTCAAGTGCTCCCTGGTCAAAGTAGCCCCTGGTAAAAATAAAGGTTGGGAAACACTGGTTTACACTGATGTGTGGGCAAACCCTTCCCTGGCCTCCCACAATTTCACAGATCCTCCAACACTCCATCACTCGTTTAATTTGTCCGTCATTTTATATAAAGGGAGCCATTTTACTATGGTATTGTGTATAATAGGACTTGAGCATCTGCGTATTTTGGTATCCACAGGGGTCCTAGAAGCAAGGACCCATACCAAGGACCCATTGTATCATGTTGGACGCTCTAGAACAACCTATGGTTTGTTTTTTGTGTGTGTTGTAGTCCAAAACGTAAGCTTGCCAGTCTCTGTGGTAGGCTTTCTTCTACCATACATTCCCCACTCTGATTGTACCCTACTTCTACCTATGATGACCTCGAATCCCCCGGATCTTTCCTTGAACCCTTTCTCTGCTCTCTTTCAAGCTTTACCATTATGGCCCCTAATCTCCTAGATCTTCCCTTGATCCCAGTGTTCTATCTGTGTGTGTTAAACAAAGATAGTTTACAAGACTCTGCACCGCAAAGAAGGAGACTTTTTCAGTGATCATTTGGGAATGTACGTTTCTAGTGTCTGGGTGTGACCAAGGTATCTTGCTTTTTTCTCCTCCCAGAATTTAGTCAGTTTGTTTTCTTTGGTTGGAGAATATTTTTAAAAGAAAGCCAACCTTTCTTGTTTCAATAATTGCCCGTCTTTTTGGCATTTAAATAAAAGCTGAAGGGATCGAATCAGCATCTTACCCACAGAGATGGAGTCAGATGGAAAAATTGTGGCATTCTTTTCTGGAAGGGCAGGGGGGGAAAAGCCTGTTTACTCAGATGTCTTTGACCAGTTCGCTTATTTCAAGGTTTGGACCAAGATTTTCAGAGCTTGGAAAGAAAAGGTTTTATGTGAGAGGCTTTCTTTTTGGGGGAAATTCACTGAGACACAGTGCAGCCGTAATGACAGAAAGGGAAAGAAAGGAAGTTCTGTTTTAGGAACGCTTTATGCTGACTTGCACGAAAAGGTATTCCAAATTCCAAGACTTTATGAATTGTTAAAGGTTGTGATTCTTTTTTTTTAAAGAAAGGAATAAAAGAAAGAATTGGCACATTTCAACAACTTTATGGGCTTATATTTCACATAGTAGCAGCATTTTCAGTTCAAAACGTTCCTCGTATTAGAAGTGTGGCTACCTTATTATGATTTATTCATTTATTTCCTTCCTTTTGCCCAATACAAGAATTCAGGATGGGGTCCAAAAATTGAAAGAGATACAGTTAAAAACACAAAACAATAAGAAAAAAGTTATTGTTAGAGTGCAATTAAATCACCCATAGAGTTTTTAGGAATTACATATTCTTGCTTTTGAAAGTCATTCTCAGATTGTCAAGATTATGATAACATGCAATTCATATGTTTTCTTTGGCCATGAAAACACAAGATTGGCCTGGCTTCGTTGGCTAAATGATACTCTATCAGTGGTCTCTGATAAGAATAGGTGGGTAACTTATTCCAACTTGCTGTGAATGGTTCTCAGTTGATCTCAGCCTGAGGGTCCCCAGGTGTTTTGGACTACAACTCCCAGAAATCCCAGCCAATTTGCCAGCTGTTAGGTTTTCTGGGAGTTGAAAGCCAAAACATCTGGGAACCCACAGGTTGAGAACCACTGAACTAGTGGGATTCTTATGGAGGCAACGGAAGGCATGGAACTAAATCCTAGTATTAGTTCTCATTATAGTTAGGAGTTGAATCCAACGAACAAAAATGATCAAGAGTCTGGAGACGAAGCCCTATGAGGAGTGGCTTAAAGAGATGGGCATGTTTAGCCTTAAGCAGAGAAGGCTGAGAAGAGATATGATAGCCATGTATAAATATGTGAGGGGAAGTCATAGGTAGGAGGGAGCAAGCTTGTTTTCTGTTGCCCTGGAGACTAGGACACAGTGGAGCGATGGCTTCAAACTACAGGGAAAGAGATTCCACCTGAACATGAGAAAGAACTTCCTGACTGTGACAGCTGTTCAGCAGTGGAACTCTCTGCCCCAGAGTGTGGTGGAGGCGCCTTCTTTGCAGGCCTTTAAGCAGAGGCTGGATGGCCATCTCTCAGGGGTACTTTGAATACAATTTTCCTGCTTCTTGGCATAATGGGGTTGGACTGGATGGCCCACAAGGTCTCTTCCATCTCTATGATTCTATGAATCAGTGGAATCTACTAAAGCAGTGGTTCTCAACCTGTGGGTCCCCAGATGTTTTGGCCTTCAACTCCCAGAACTCCTAACAGCCAGTAAACTGGCTGGGATTTCTGAGAGTTGTAGGCCAAGACACCTGGGGACCCACAGGTTGAGGACCACTGTACTAAAGGTTGACTTTCCATCCAACAAGCAAGTCAATGGATCTACTTAAGACTCATCAACAATTTATTTATTTCATATACTTGTACCCCGCCCTTCTCACCCCCAGAGGGGGGACTTAGGGCGGCCAAGTGGCTCAAGTGCATTTATTTCAAGTCTAGCAGTTGGCTAAGAAAAAAAATCATTCCATATTAAGTATTGCTTCTTTACTAGTTGAGTTGAAGGTTATGACTGAGTTGGTATTTCAGGTGCCATAAGATTGTTTTATTGTTCTTAATGGAATATGTTGAAGTATTGTTGAATTATGCCCTGTGTTATGCAAATGAAAGATGCAGCTTGCTTTAAGAATCTGCACATTTCAGCGATATTTGGTTCTGGATCTATGGCCCTCCAGATGTTTTGGATATTGACTCCCAGAATCCTTGACTGAGGTCTCTGTGAGCGGGAATCCAAAAACCTTGACAACAACTGGCCCAGAAATTACAATTTTTGCACGAAATCTCAAAAAGTTATGGGTTTTGGACCTTAAGAGCACCAAGCATGGAATGCCTGTAGAGCCGAGGAGAATTTATTTTTCCTCTGGGGCGGATGGTCTATCAAACCATATCTGTCCACACCCCTCCCAAACCTTCTGGGAGCTCTTGCGGTCAAATGCAATCGCTGTAAGATTTTGTGGGACTGTGTCTGTTTGCGGTCTTCCAGATGTTCCATGATGCCTTTGCAATGATGTCTGTTCTCTCTCTTTCTCTGTCGGTTTCCCTGTTGCAGGTGCTACAAGGGGCTCAGCTCATTGCCGTTGCCTCTTCAGACCCCGCAGCTGGTGGCGTTGATGGATCTCCGCTCCAAGGGAGCGACATCCAAGTCCAGTATGTCCAGCTGGCCCCCGTGACGGACCACTCGGCCGCCAGTCAAGTACGTAGATCCTCCCTCTGTTCTAAAGAGAATCATGCTTGGGAGCTATCAGAGCAGCTGTGGTGCCATCCTCCGGCGCTTGTCTCCTTCCAGGCCTGTAATTCCCCTTCGTTCTTGTAAAAGTGTCTCCGTCCTGTCAATACAATGCCATGAGTTTCTCCCCCCAGGCATATGTTCTTGGTGGACTTAGCCTATGATGTAAGTAAGGCTGAAGGGCTGTGGTCAGGGCTTGAAACCAAATTCTATGTTAGTAAAACCGGAGCTCTGGAGTCTGTAACCCAAAAACACCACATGTGTATATTTGCTTATTTTGCAAAAATTAACTTGATTGTTTCCTTAACTATAGGGAGGGTCAAGAAAAACAAGGAAGCCTCCTCCACTGATCACTGCTCTATGCGTCCTAATATTTCTTCAGACACCACTCTGCTTTTTAAAGGATTTTTTTTACAACCATCAGTGCAAGATAGTTGTCTTTTGTATGTTTATAGAAGCTGATAATCTCCGGAAACCAAATTCCATGCTTTTTACAGTCACATAGTGGCTTCCACTTAGGAATTCCTTGGGATAGATGCAATAAAAATGCCCAGAAATTGACATCATCCATGAACGTGGTGGCTTCGAGGCCCATGTTAGAATCTGAACTTTAAATGTTTTACTTATGCCTCTTATAATCATAAGTTAGAATGGTGGTTCTCCGTCTTTGGTCTTCAACTCCAAGAAGTCCCACCACTAACAGCGTGGCTCATGGTCAAGAGGATTTGGGAGTTGGAGATGTCCAAAGCATCTGAGGGACCAGTGGTTAGGAACATTTGAGTTAGAGGATGTGCTTCAGAGTTTGGACCAGTGTTTCCAACACAACAGCCCAAGTCGGATGGGGTTTCTCTATTGTTGGCCTGATTCAAGAACAGGATGAGCTTGTGCCTGGCTCATCCTATGCTGCTACTGTCTGGCTCTCCAAGAAGTGCAAGTCAAGGGCATGTTCCCATGTTCAGAAGATGGTGCCATGATGCACTCACCATGAGTGGCCATTGATGTCCCAACAGCTTTCGCTCTGCACCAGAGTCTGTGGCCACCTCTGGTTTCAACCTCAGCCCCCTAGATGGCCGGAGCTGCTTTCTCCCCCCAAGCGAGCCAGAGTCAGGGTCAAGTGTGCCAGGGGTCAGCGCCAGAAAACCAAGTCAGCCCCAGATGAGTCACTCTGGGGCTTGGCAACTCTCCGGCCCAAGAACGGCCTGTACTTTTCCTTAGCCAAGGAGGGGAAAAGGTTTGGCTTTGGAATCAAAAGGGATATGGACCCCATCTCTCTCCCCTTCTCAGTCTTTCTGGGACCGTGATGCGGCCTAGATGAGCTCACCAGTTGTGGCCCACAATGAGTGATGGGCACCCGGCCTAACTGTTGTGTTGCTGATACACTATTGCTCCATTCCTAGAGGTCAGGGAGTCAGCTTTTCCATTCCGAGCCCCTGCTATTTCTAACCTGGCTGCAACCATTGGCTCAGAACAGCCTGTTCCATTATTTAAGTTTGAACGGTTCCCCTTTCCTTAACACACATCTTGCCTTGTTTGCCAACTCGAGGTGCCTCTCTCTCTAAATTATAACTTTGCAGTGTATGACTAGGGGCTGAGGGGGAGAGGAGCAGGTCCTGGATGCCAAAGGCCTCGTATTTCCTGGCCCTTCTTTTGGGAATTTGGCATCTCTGTGTGTAGTCTCTGGTAAAGGGCATTCCATCTGTTTGGCTAGCAAACATGGTTCATCTTGACATGATTTATAATTCAATGAGACAGGGACAGCACCATGTTCAGGTGACTTGGAATGTACTAGGTATATCTGTTGCACCTTTCTCTGCAAAACACTTGGCAGCATAGATCGATAGATAGATCTGGAAAAGACATACAAGGTCCAGACCACCACACCACCATGGCTCTCTGTATACAATTTCTCCTTAAATACTCAAACCTTGATTCATGGACCCTTGCCTTTCCTGTTGCTGAGTCCAATAATGTCAGGTCTGTTTCTGTGGAAGATAACACGCCTATCTTATGACCAGTTTATCACTTCCAATTGAAGAAGATCCAGTGGAAACTTGGATACACTAACCACTATGTATATTCCATTCATTTGGTAAATCTGTTCTATTTGGGAGTAAGAATTGGATCCAGGTCTGTATAGATGAAATGAATGCTCTTTACTTGCATATTTTCTTCATTTTGAGACGTTTTGTAGGCTCTCTCTCTCTCTCTCTCTCTCTCTCTCTCTCTCTCTCTCTCTCTCTCTATATATATATATATATATATATATATGATGGTAAAGGTTTCCCCCTGACATTAAGTGTAGTTGTGTCTGACTCAGGGGGGTGGTGCTCATCACCATTTCTGAGCCAAAGAGCCAGTGTCGTCCATAGACGCCTCCAAGGTCATGACTGCATGGAATCGTACTTATGGATCTACTCACATTTGCATGTTTTCAAACTGCTAGGTTGGCAGAAACTGGGCTAACAGTGGGAGCTCACCCCACTCCCTGGATTTGAACCACCAACCTTTTGGTCAGCAAGTTTGACAGCTCAGTGGTTTAACCTGCTGCACCACCAGGGGCTCATATATACAGCTGCCGTTATTACACAGCTTCACCAGCTACTGATCTGTTTTTGGGTCAGAATTCAAAGTACTGTTTACTGCCTATAAACCCCAGTATGACCTAAATCTTAGAAAAACCATATCTTCCCATAAGAGCCAGTTAAAGGTTTAAGATCTTTGAAGGAGGGTTTTCTCTTGGTCTGATTATTATTTATCGTGTCAGAAGGGAATCGAGAATCGAGAATACAATTATAATGTATTTTTAAAAAACCACAAAGTTAAATACTTGGCATGATACTAGATTTCCTTTGAGCAGAAGCTGGCCCCTTCAAGTGCCTCTGATGTTGCTGTGAGAAGGTCCTCCATTGTGCATGTGGCAGGGCTCAGGTTGCATTGTAGTCAGTGATCTGTGGTTTGCTCTTCTCTCTCACATGTTGTGGACTCCACTTTGTAGCCCCATTTCTTAAGGTTAGCTCTGCATCTCGTGGTGCCAGAGCGTAGCCTGTTCAATGTCTTCCAGGGTGTCCACTCTTCTGTGTGCTCAGGAGAGAGTTTCTCATCTGGTCTCAGCCACTGATTGAGGTTCTGGGTTTTCACCAACCACTTTTGGATACTCACTTGCTGAGGTCTTCCTGCGAATATATCTCTAGATCTTAAAAAGCTATTTCTTGATTTAAGGCATTGGCTTGCTGGCTGATATCCGAACAGAGGATGGGCTGGAGATATCAATACCTTGGTCCTTTCTTTACTGGCTGCTACTTTCCAACGGATGTCAGGTGGTGCAATACCAGCTGATGAAAATACCTCATGAGAGGACCTTCTTGATGACTGCTTCCAGTTCTCTTCCTCTCTCCAAATTCCTCTTTAAGTGGCCTTCCCTGGACTCCAAAATGAGATGTCTGTGTGTCCACCTTGCCTGTGGCTTCATCCTCCCCTTCTTGACTGCTCAGATTTTGACAAGAGCTGGCCATTGGTTTTGAAATCCAGCAATAAATCTCTCCATCTCTCCCCCACACCGTTGGTTGGCAGCAAGAGCGGAATTGCTCTCTTTCAGACCCTTTGCGCCGTGTTAGCTTTTAATATTGTGGTTAACCACAGAGGGTTATACCATACTGCAGATAAACCGAAAGGAATGTGGAAACTTATAGGAAGGTGTGTGTGTAAAAAATGTAGATGGGGTTAGAAATAGGTTCGCTGTGACTGGTGAGTCCATTTCCAAAACCCAACGAAGGAGCCAATATAAATAGAGGGTGTGACATGAATTTGGTAAGCTCAAAGGAGAGCATGCCAAGTATGGCCTTTCATTAATTTTCCAGTCTCAATGCTTTCCTCCCATGCAAAGCCCTCCCAACAGATGGCCATCCAGCTCCAGAGAAGCAGACTCCAAAACACTTCCAAGCACCATATTCCAAAGTTAAATAGCTCTTACCATCAGGAAGCTCTTTCTAATGTTCTGGTGGAATCTCTTTTTCTGCAGTTTGAACCTATTGTTCTATATCATGTCTCCAGAGACAAGAAAACAAGCTTGCCCCTCCTTAATATGACATCCTTGCCAATATTTGCATATGGCTCTCACATCCCCTCTCGACCTTCTCTTCTCCAAGGTAAACGTATCGAGCTCCCTAAGCCACTTCTTATCAGGATTCATTGTGTCCAGACCTTGGACCATTTTGGTTGCCCTCCTCTGGACACTTTCCATCTTGTCCATCTCCTCTTCAATCCTAGTGGGATTCAATCGGCCCCTTCCCTCTGTCATTTTGTAAACAAGTAGAAAACTTGGCTTTGGGAGCGAGCATTTGGCCCAGCATAATTACAGGGGGCGGGGGGAGTATTTAGTCAGATATCAATTGTACAAGTTCTCCCACTTAAAAAGGTGAGAGGGGCCTGTAATTGACATTGTAGGTGGATCTCAACCTAAACATGAGAAAACACATCCAGAAAATCACATTGTCTGATTTTTAACAAATTTATTTGCAAATTATCGTGGAAAATAAGTATTTGGTCCATAACAAAAGTTCATCTCAGTACTTTGTTATATATCCTTTATTGGCAATGACAGAGGTCAAACCTTTTTCATAAGTCCTCACAAGGTTGGCACACACTGTTGCTGGTATGTTTGCCCATTTCTCCATGCAGATCTCCTCAAGAGCAGTGATGTTTTGGGTCTGTCGCTGGCAACACGGACTTTCAACTCCCGCCAAAGATTTTCTATAGGGTTGAGATCTGGAGACTTGCTAAGCCACTCTAGGACCTTGAAATGCTTCTTATGAAGCTACTCCTTCATGGCCTTGGTGGGGTCAGGCTGCATAGATACTATAGACCTGTGTTTCTCAACCTTCCTAGTGCTGCGACCCCTTAATACAGTTCCTCTGTTGTGGTGACCCCCCAACCTTAATATTATTTTCATTGCTACTTCATAACTGTCTTTTTGCTACTGTTATGAATTGTCATGTAAATATCTGATATGCAGGATGTTTTTCATTCACTGGACTAAATTGGGCACAAATATCCGATACGCCCAAATTTGAATACTGGTAAGGTTGGGGGAGATTGATTTTGTCATTTGGGAGTTGTAGTTGCTGGGATGTATAGTTCTCCTACACTCAAACTCCACCAACAATGGACTTGAACCAAATTTGGCAAACAGAACTCCCATAACCAACAGAAAATACTAGAAGGGTTTGGTGGGCATTGACCTTGAGTTTTGGACTTGTAGTTCACCTACATGCAGGAGCCCCCGGTGACGCAGTGGGTTAAAGCCCCGTGCTGACAGGACTGAAGACCGATAGGTCGCAGGTTCGAATCCAGGGAGAGGTGGATGAGCTCCCTCTATCAGCTCCAGCTCCTCATGTGGGGACATGAGAGAAGCCTCCCACAAGGATGATAAAACATCGAATCATCTGGGCGTCCCCTGGGCAACGTCCTTGCAGACGGCCAATTCTCTCACAACAGAAGCGGTTGCTCCTGACACGACAAAAAACCCCCAAAAAACCTACATCCAGAGGGAAATTTGGACTCAAACAATGATGGATATCAACCAAACTTGGGACGAATACTCAATATGTCCAAATGTGAACACTCGTGGAGTTTGGGGAAAATAGACTTGACATTTGGGAGTTGTAGTTGCTGGGATTTATAGTTCACCTACAAACAAAGAGCATTCTAAACCTCACTAACGATAGAATTGGGCCAAACTTCCCACACAAAAACCCCATGACCAACTGTGTTTTCTGATGGTCTTTAGCGACCCCTCTGACACCCCCTGACAGCTCCCCCCAGAGGTCCCGATCCCCAGGTTGAGAAATACTGCCAGTCATGGTGAGACGTCTGGTTGGTTTATGTTTCTCCAGTTTTCCAGATCTAGTGCAATTCATAGGCATTGACATCCATCCACTCAAGAACCAGAGTTGATGCCCACAGAGGCAGAATTTGGGCATCGAAGGGGGAGTTGGCTTGTAACAGGGCATGGAAAGAGATTGCTCCAGGCGCGAACAGATGCCAGCTCACCACTCCGCCGACCCCCTTGTTTACTTTCCTGCGCTGATTGCATTCTTTCCTTACAGAAGTCGTAATGGTTCCTGACATGTTAAATTACAGTAATAACATTGGAATACCACACAGGATTTGTTTTTCCTTCTCCCCGCTGAAACCGGCAAGAGGGGAAATGGCTTCCGCTGGAAAGCCTTCTGCATCTGGCTAAATGCTGGAATCATTAAGAGAACTTTGCTGGGCCTTTGTGGCGGATTCTTTCTCCAGGTGTCTGGGGAGTCCCAGACAAATGGCTCTTGCAAATGACCTTATTGGTGACTGTATTAAACACACAGAGAGAAGTGACCTGTAAAATAGGGAAGAGGGGTGGATATAGGATTGGGAGTCTGTAGCAACATGTTATTACTGGCAGGAGAACAGACAGAGGGAGGCAGTAACGCATTGCAAAGTGCCTGACCTTAATTGCAGAACAAAGCCTTGCCGTTTTGAACTTGGCAGAGGCCTCCTATATTAATAAGCAATCATTTACCACAAATACAAAAAACATTAGGCAGGAAAACAGCAAGGCTTTTTCTTGGGGCTCTGGAACTATCTTTGAGAGCAGAACTTTGAGCAGGAGGTTTTAAAGCAAGAACCATTGGACCAAACACTCATAAAGCCACCTTTCTCAAACTTTTTACCCTGGAAGAACCCTTGAAATAATGTTCAGGTCTAAGGGAATCCTTATCATAGTTGTAACCAAAAAAAGAATGATCTCTGTAGGAAAACAGCCCCAGGGATACGACTGAACACCACTAAATCACTTCTCTTCCGGTCCCAGTATATCTTAGAGTGGTGTCGGAGTAGTTTTCCAAGAGAGATATCTTCTTTAGGACTGTTCTAGGTACTCCAACCCAACTATATGGTAACTTATGGGAGAAGCGTATCATAGAACAGCTGAGAGTAACTACAAAATGCCTAGAGCACTGTTTCTCAACCTTCCTAATGCCACAACCCCTTTAATACAGTTCTCCATGTTGTTCTGACCCTCAACCATAAAATTATTTCCGTTGCTACTTCATAACTGTAAATTTTGCTACTGTTGTGAATTGCAATGTAAATATCTGATATGCAGGATGTATTTTCATTCGCTGGGCCAAATTTGGCACAACTATCCGATATGCCCAAATTTTAATCCTGATGGGGTTGGGGGGATTGATTTTGTTATTTTGTAGTTGTGGTTGTTGGGATTTATACTTCACTGACAATCAAAGAGCATTCCAAACCCCACCAACGATAGAATTGGGCCAAACTTCCCATACAGAACCCACATGCCTTGAAGGGACTCGCTGGCACAAGCCTCCCTCCAGCTTGCTCACTCTCCCTCAACCTCACATGCACATCACACTGCCATGCGCCGAGCATGCCTGCCCCCTGCTTGGAGCCCTCCCCTTGACTGAGAGGCTGGCCAATCACAGCGCAGGAGGGCTTTTGGTGGGAGGATTCTTCCAAAAAGGAAGAGAAGGACAGGCAGAGAGATCTTCAGCCTTCTCTGCCAAAGGGGTTCCTAAGACCACCAGAAATATGTTTTTTTCTGATGTAATTTCGCAACTCTTCTGATACCCTCTTGTGACCCCCCCCCCCCCCCCGGGGTCCCACTCCCAAGGTTGAGAAACACTGGCCTAGAGAGACATTTTCCCCCATGTGCAGGTAAATGATACTACAAATAAAGATTCTGCAGATATGGGGTCTTGCAGCATTTAAAGACCTGGTGGAATCTCATGTAAAATATAGAGCGAGCTTATGGATCGGTGGGTTCAAATGATAAGGACAGATTCCCACCTTTACCATTAAGACACACTTCTTGACTATAAGAACTGTTCAACATTGAAATGGATTGCATTGGAGGGTGGTGGACTTCCCGTTCTTCTTGCTCTTCCTCTTGCTGCTTCTCCTCCTCCTCCTCTTCTTGGAGGTCTTTATACAAATGTTGGATGATCTTTGTTTGGGGATGCTTTAGTTGTGTCTTCTTGTAAGGCAGAAGGCCATTAAGAAACACTTCCTGACTCTAAGAACTGCTCAACATTGGAATGGACTGCATTCCCATTCTGCTTGCTCTTCCTCTTGCTTCTCCTCCTCCTCCTCCTCCTCTTCTTGGAGGTCTTTATACAGATGTTGGATGGCCTTTGTTTGGGGGGTGCTTTAGTTGTGCCTTCTTGTGGAGCAGAAGGCCATTAAGAAACACTTCTTGACTCTAAGAACTGTTCAACATTGAAATGGACTGCATTGGAGGGTGGTGGACTTCCCATTCTTCTTGCTCTTGCTTCTCCTCCTCCTCCTCCTCCTCCTCTTCTTGGAGGTCTTTATACAGATGTTGGATGGCCTTTGTTTGGGGGGTGCTTTAGTTGTGCCTTCTTGTGGAGCAGAAGGCCATTAAGAAACACTTCTTGACTCTAAGAACTGTTCAACATTGAAATGGACTGCATTGGAAGGTGGTGGACTTCCCATTCTTCTTGCTCTCCTCCTCCTCCTCTTCTTGGAGGTTTTTATACAGATGTTGTATGGCCTTTGTTTGGGAGTGCTTTAGTTGTGTCTTCTTGTAGGGCAGAAGCTGTGAACTAGATAGTTATTGAGATCCTTTCCTGTTATATGACTGTTATCTGAAGTCTACTGTCTCCAGGTTCTCCTGATGCTAAACTGTCCTATATTAAAATATTCTCCTCTGTTTCTCTCCACTACAGAATCCAGATTCTCTTCCAACAGCCATCCAGCCAGAAATGCAGATAGACCATGGAGCCATTCAGATCCAGTGAAACAGAGTCAGCAGGACAAAGAGGAGCAGCTATATGGACTCCATGCCTTGGCAGCTAAATATTCCAATAAGACAAGCAAGTATGTAGCTTCTCAGCCTGGACACAGATGCTCTCCTTCAACCTCCAGTGATTTCATGTGGTTCGGGCCTAGCACACAAACAGGTGCCATAGGAAAGGCCTTGCGTCCTGGGCATCCCATTCACTCCAGACCAAAGGACTCCTCAACAGGTTTGGTCCCTCCTGAAGAAAAAAACTCAAACCGATCTTGCCGAAAGACAAGAACTTTGCTCATCTGAATAAATGAATTGACGCCCCGCCACTTTGTCTCTCCCTGTAGTTCCCTTCCCTGCCTGCCTTGCAGCAGCACACCGAGAGAAAAATCAAGAGTGAAAGTATATTTTGCCATTTGAGAGAAGGATTTTTTAAAAAATTGCTATGTTTATATTGACAGAGAGAAAGATGCATTTAAGGAATGAATGGGGAGACGTGGGGAGCCTGTTATCACTCAAGTTACGCTTTTTTGCTGCTTTTTTCAGTATAATTATCAAGTATTTGCAAGAGAGAACACTCATGTACAAACACAACCTTTGCCCTTTTTTTTGTTACGTTGACTAACGATTTTTCTAAAGAGGAAAGAAAAGACTATTCAACACTGTAATTATGCATTTCTAAAGAAATAAATGTGTATTTATGAAGTCTGTCTTTCTTTTGCCCATCTTTGGACTAGAATCATAGAATTAGAAGAGACCTTGTGGGCCATCCAGTCCAACTCCATTCTGCCAAGAAGCAGGAAAATCGCATTCAAAGCACCCCTGACAGATGGCCATCTAGCATCTGTTTCAAAGCCTCCAAAGAAGGAGCCTCCCTTGACCACTCTCTGAGGCAGAGAGAGAGTTCCACTGCTGAACACCTCTCCTTACAGTCAGGAAGTTTTTCCTAATGTTCAGGTGGAATCTCCTTTCCTGTAGTTTGAAGCCATTATTCCATTGCATCCTAGTCTTGTTGTCCACAAGGACTCCAAGATCTTATTCCACACTTACTGCTGACTAGAATGCTTTTGATGGTCTTCTTTTTCAGGAAGCAATCTCTTCCTCTCTATTTATTTATTTTATTTAAAACATTTGTATTCCGCCTTTCTCACCCTGCAGGGGACTCAGGGCAGAGCACAAACATATATACAGCAAACATTCAATGTCAGGACATAAAACCATAAATATATGCAAACATTAAAATCACTTATATTCACATTAAAAGTTGCTTAAAAACCATCACTTGAATTTCATTTTGCAGTTTCTTTTCAAGGAGATAAAACCACCATTGTCTCTTCTTTCTGCCTATCCTATTTGCTAATGTTTTCTGTCCAGAATGTGTATTTTTATCCGTTTGTAATTTAGGAACATTTACTATCCTTATATTCTTTTCCCCCGAAGACTGATTTGCAAAGGCAAACAAACAAAAAACAGAACTGCGGTCATGAAGGTAGGATAGATTTTCGGAGAGGAAAGGGCGTGCAGACAATCCTAGATAAAGTGCATTTAGGGACATATTGCTGGGAGTTTCCTTATTCTGGGAAGGCGCACTGGAACAACCATGTTTTCAGGCTCCTCCTAAAGACTGCCAGAGTTGGGGCATGCCTAATGTCCTTGGGGAGTGAGTTCCAGAGTCGAGGGGCCACCACCGAGAAGGCCCTCTCCCTCGTCCCCACCTCGTCACACCTACAATGAAGGTGGGAGCGCGAGCAGGACCTCTCCAGAGCACCAGTTAACAACCTGGCAGCCGCCCGTTGAACCAACTGAAATTTCCGGGCCGTTTTCAAGGGCAGCCCCATGTAGAGTGCATTACAGTAGTCCAACCTGGAGGTGACTAATGCATGGACCACCTTGGCCAGATCCGCCTTCAAGAGGTACGGTCACAGTTGGCGCACGAGTCTTAATTGTGCAAAGGCCCTCCCGGCCACCGCCAACGCCTGAGCTTCAAGCGTCAGTGATGAGTTCAGGAGGACACCCAGACTGCGGACCTGTGACTTCAGGGGGAGTGCAACCCCGTCCAACACAGGTTGCCACCCTATACCCTGATCCGGTTTACGATCGACCAGGAGGACCTCTGTCTTGTCGGGATTGATCCTCAGCTTGTTCCTCCTCATCCAGACAGCCACAGCGGCCAGGTACTCATCCAGCACTCAAGGGGCTTCCTTGGAATTAGGTGGAAAAGAGTAGTAGAGTTGCGTGTCATCTGCATAGAGATGGCATCCAACTCCAAAACTCTGGATGACCTCTCCCAGCGGTTTCATGTAGATGTTAAAAAGCATGGGAGACAGAATGGAACCTTGCGGGACCCCACAGATCAAAGGCCAAGGGTTACAATATAATATAGTATTACGAGGGGTATTTTTAAAGTAAGGTCCATTTTGTTGTAGACACTGGTAGTTCGCGCGCATGCTGCAACGAGTGTGTGCGTCATGTACCAGCATGCCTCGGGAACAACCGTGCTCAGTTTCCGCTCTGTAGCTAACCTGTACGGTTCTGTTCTGTGCTTTAAAAATGTTTAAGATTTATCAACTCACCCTCCGCATGTGAGGTTCGCTCAGTGATACGGTTTTTGTCAGCAAGGAACCTGCCTGCTGCAGAAATTCATTGACAGATTTGTGAAGTGTACGGTGATACTGTTATGAGTGAAAGCAAAGTGCGTATGGTGGGTAAGGTGGATACGACAATTCAAAGATGGCCATGATGAGGACCGCTCCGGTCGCCCTTCTTTGATTACAATGAACTCTTGGTTATCAGAGCAGGTGGCAAGTTTTTATGAAGAGGGTATTTTAAAATTGGTTCAGAGGTATGATAAGTGTTTGAACAAACTTGGCAACTATGTCACAACACAGGTTGAGAAACACTGCTTTAATGGCACCTTTTATTGCAGTGGTTCTCAACCTGTGGGTCCCCAGGTGTTTTGGCCTACAACTCCCAGAAATCCCAGCCAGTTTACTAGCTGTTAGGATTTCTGGGAGTTGAAGGCCAAAAACATCTGGGGACCCCAGGTTGAGAACCACTGCTTTATTGCCTCCCCTGCTAAAAGTGGTACCTATTTTATCTACTCGCATTTCTGCTTTCAACCTGCTAGGTGGACAGTTGAGTTGGGGCTAATGGCGGGTGCTCACCCCACCTGGTCTCGAACTGCTGATCTTTTGATCAGCAGGATTTTTCTGCAGCACAGCTGTTTAGCCTGCTGTGCTAAGCCTGGCCCCAGTGCAGTATAATGCAGTTCCAAGCTGTGTAGATCCAGCCACATCAAGCTATGGCAGTATAGATCCAGCCACAGTTGAGTCATCTTGGCTTCCAAGGAGAATTCAAGCTGCAAATAATTGGAAATGGCAACCAAGAGCTACAAGCATTTGTTGGAAAGGAGAATGTGTTGTGGTCATAACGTTTCTGTCATTTCCAGCTCAGCCTTAGTAATAAATTAAGGAGCAATCTTGACCATAATAAGAGATTGGACTTGTCATACTGCTTCCACTTTTTCTTGCCTGACCATGAATCCAGTCACTTGCCCTTGGGACTCAAAAACAAAGGAATTGGATGGAAGAATGGCTTGAGAAATTCCATCTTCCCTGCCAGGAAAACCCAGGCCCTGCAACCAGGCGAAATGATGTAAATGTGAAACTCCGCATCTATTTGCTGATGCGGAGAAATTGCAGTCGGAAAGCAGGCTCTCTCCTTTCAAAGCAGGCAAAAGGAATAATTGTTTGCATGCCCGACCCTGTTATAAGTGGTGAGGTGGAGCAGAGATTCCCCACCACTTGGTTGAGAAACTACTACTTTCAGAAACCACCTCTTCCAGATTTTAAAAAGTAAAGCCCCAAACCCTAAAAGAGAACCAATTGGAAAACCATATAAGCAGCCAGGTTGCAAAACAAGGTAAGGAAAGCCAAAGAAGCCAAAGTTATAATTATCCAACATATTTTTTTCCATCTTCTTTCTCAGATCTTGCACTTTTTTCCCTATTGCAGACACAATCTGGATCATTAAATGTATTTGGAAATTTGGAAAGGGGGAAATAAGTTTGTCTTTCCTCCCCCCCCCCCCCTGAATTGTTCATTGAGAAAGTGATTTAAGATATTAATACTAGTCTTTCCAAATTGCAAAGTGGTTTAAAGTGAAAGAATTATAAATGAAAGTATAACCACAAAGACGGTGCAGCTATCGGGAGAAGAAATGAAGTCATTCCTACCCAAAATAACCATTCTGACCCCTGAATACAATTTTTCTGCAGTTCCCAGATTTTTAGCATTGCAAAGAATACAATGCTGAAAATCACTCACACCCAGAACTCATTTGCAGCGTTTTCATTCCTTTGGTCCCTTTCTAAATGCAATGCTAGAAACGTAGGGAAATTAAGGAAAATTTCACTGGGAGGAGCAGAAATCACATCTTCCTAGATATTTCCTACATACAGTAATCCTAGGGCGACTCTGTAGTAAGCAGTGGACTCTGTGGTAGGCCGTGGCGGAGCAGTGGTTTAAACCGCTGAGCTGCAGAACTTGCTGATTGGAAGGTTGGCGGTTTGAATCCAGGGAGCGTGCTGAGCTCCCGTCGTTAGCCCCAGCTTCGTCTAACCTTGCAGTTCAAAAATATGCAAATGTGAGTAGATTAGTAGGTACCACTTCTGTGGTAAGGTAATGGTGCTCCATACCGTCATGCTGGCCACATGAACTTGGAAGTGTCTACGGACAATGCCGTCTCTTCGGCTTAGAAATGGAGATGAGCACCAACCCTCAGAGTCGGATACGACTGGGCTTAATGTCAGGGGAAACCTTTACCTGAGGATGAGTTTGGGTGATTCCAGGCAGCACTAAATCATGCACTTTAGTCAGGGGCAACCCCCCCCCCCCCAAAAAAAAAAAACCAGGACCTGAGAAGATGTCCAGATACAGACCTGTTGGTCGTGGGATTTCTGCCTGTCGTCCACACTTGGTGCTTTGTCAAGGGATTTTGCAGCCCCCAAGTTGGCTGCCACAGGACTTCCGCTGGAGATTTCAACAGTTTTTTTTTTAAAAAAAAAAACCTTCAAGATGTAAACATGCGAAGATGCGAATCATTGTATAAGTTCTGTTCCTGGGTTATATAAGCTGCAAGGCCATCTGTGCAGACAGTGTGCAGTTCCTGGATTATACGTGTTTGTTCCTTATTGCTCTGGTTGTGAAAAGAAGTTCAATGTTGACTATGGGGCCACAACTTTGTCCTGGCCAGAGAAACCGTGCCCTCCACATGTTTCGTGAAGTTTCTGGCATACAAACAAAGCTTTTGCCTTCTACACAAGTATTGCCTTCTTTTTAGGAAACAGCCAATCAGGAACAAACATCTAAAACCCGGGAACAAACCTAGATTAAAAATCTCATGATTTCCGAGTGCAGGGACATGCAGACATTCGAAGATGTGGATTTTTGGCTCAGATCCGGGATATTCCTGCACCTGAAAATCTTACATTTTTTGCCAGTTGTAGTGATTGCTTCCGTGTTTATAGGGAACGGCATTTGACCACCTTCCAGTTTGCTGCAGAAACTCCTAGAATAAAGCTATTGTCTGGACAGGCCCTAAGTCATAGGATTTTCTTGACAACATTTGTTCAGATGGGGTTTGCCTTTGCCTCCCTCTGAGGCTGAGTGTGTGTGCTGCAGGCTAGAACTTCCAGAGACTAGGAA